ACTTGGTCCACTCAGGAACCTGCCAGCACAGAGTTGATGGAGCAGAGCTGTCACTCGTGGGTGTGGCGCCAGAGGAGTGACATGGGACACCTGAGCAGCACCTGGGCACCTTCTAGGGCTCTCTCAAGATCCTGAGACAATGCCCCCACTGCCATGCACCTCAGCACCCTGGGGTGCCCCACGCACCTCCACATTCCTCACAGAGGGGTCGGGGGCCTCGTCCGGCCAGTCAGGCAGCTCCTGGTAGCCCACGGCCTTGGCGTTGAGCAGGTGGGACAGGGAGCCCAGCTGGAAATGATCCCGATCTACAGTGGGGTAAGAGTTGGCAGCAGCTCGGGGACAGCCACGCAACACTGTGCTGGTAGCTGGCCCCATGTCCCCATGCCCTGTGAGCACAACTGGGTACCTTTGAAGGAGGACTCCAAGATGGGAGCAGGTTTTTGGGCCAGGAAGAGTTTCTTGGCGTACTTGTTGAGGGCCCCGCTCTTCTCAGTGGGCACGATGAGCTGGCGGATGAAGCGCGCTCGGTCGCGGATGTCATAGTTCTGGTCATACTTGGCCAAGTTGAGGACGTACTGGGTCAGCAGCTTGCTCTGCACCAGAGGACACGCTCAGGACCAGCCTCTCCCTCCCCAGTGGGGTAACTGAGGCATGCCATTGGGCCATATCGCTGGTACCTGCTTGGAGTTGGTCAGGTAGAGCTTAGCTGCCAGGTTGATGACCTGCAACTTAACGATGTCCTCCTCGTTGGTGAAGGACTTGGCCATCTTGCGCAGCACGTCGGGGGCAATCTTGGGCACGTGCTCACAGTACTCGCCGATGAGCCACAGGATGCTGGCCCGCGCCATTGGCACCTGCAAATGTCCCCCGGGCACATGGTGCCGCTGCCGCTCCCTGAGTCCCATGGGCCATGCAACGCCCCGACCCACCTGGATGTTGTCGGTGAGCTTGGCCATGTGCTTGATGATCTCGCTGTGCTGGGCCGGCTGCATCTGCAGCAGTTTTTTGATGACCACCACGGATTCAGCCACCACCAGCTCTGCGGGCAGCAGACCCAACCTCAGTGAGATCCTGCCCCAAGAGCAACGGAGCCCCTGTTGCACCCCCACTGCGTCCACTCACCGTCCCGGTTGGAGAGGAGCTGGACTAGGCCGTTGAGGCAGGTGTCCCGCACCTTCCCAATGTTGGTGGCACAGCGCCCGATGGCTTGGATGGTGGCTGCCACGAAGTCCTTGTCCATGCTGCGGATGTAGGTCTGCGCAGGCATCATGGGACACACACATGTGTCACCCACCTGCCGGTGGTGTTTTTGGCGCACAGAGCCGTGCCAAGGCGGCACCCTGGGGGCCTCGGGGTGGCCATGGCATACCTGGAACTCCCGCAGGATGGTGGAGATGTTGGTTTCATTGGCCAGGTTGGTGAGGACCTCCAGCTGCAGGAAAGAAGGGATAGGTGGCATGGAGGCATGGTGTCCTGTTGTCCCAGAGGCATGGAGGACAGCTATCCCCCAAGGAAGGGCTCCATGAAGCCCCAAAGCCACCACTGATGGGTTCTGCTGAGTGTTTCCAGCTCACCTTGAGGATCTTGATCTGTGTGGGATCTGTGGAGCGGATGTAGAAGCTCTTCAGGTAAGGCTCAAACATCCCCTGCGTGCAGAGCCAGCAGTGTTAGCACCATCCCTGTCCCTCCCCTCTCTGAGGCCACCCGCTGGCCCTGGTGACTCTGCTGGCTAGCCCTCATTCCGCTCCAGAGTCAACAGGGACCCGGAGCCCCCCCCGCCGTTTGATGGACATGGTGGCCACATTCTGCAGCACAACGTACTGCACCTCGCTGTGGGAACAGAGAGGGGACCACCGTCAGTGCAGCAGGGCCAAACCCTCTCGGCAAGTCCCCATGAAGACAGGACAGGACCAACCACCTCCAAGCTGGTGCCACCATGATGTTGCCACCCCATGTCTGGATGGGGCTGGGCCAAGATGACCTTTTTGGGGGGGCTGAGTCCCACCAGCGGGGCGGGGTGTGGGGTGGGGGACCACTTCAACTCGGGTGCCACAGACCTGTGACTCCGCAGGAGCCGCACCAGCGCCTTGGCAATGACGCCCACCTCTGCCTTGGGTGCCAGGTGGAAGTAGAGCTGCGCCACAGCCATCACCACCTGCAGGAACACACCTGAGTGTCACTCAGTGGTCATGGGGACACCCCGAGGGATGGCTGTGTCCCCTGCTGGAGTCCCTGGAGGAAGCCTGACCCTGGGGATCCCCATTCCTGGGTGTCCCTCAGACACCTTGGTGGCTCCTTGGCCGGTGAGGACATCACAAGCCCAGGCTGATGGAGGCGGGGATGGAGAGGGTTGGGCTGGGGGGGCTCACCGCGGCATTGCGGCTCTGCAGCAGGGGCTTGGTGTTGCGCAGGAGCAGGCGGTGGTCAGGGTCCATGACGTAGGGTTTGCGCTTGGCCAAGGAGGCCGCCTCTGCCTTGGCGTCCTTGGCATCCTCCTCCTCGGAGCCGTAGAAAGCTTTCTCGGCGCTCTCCTCCAACAAGGATTCCTACCACCCAAGGAGGCGGGACACCTCATACCACCCCTGACAGCAACCTCCCTTTCACCCCACTTCCCTGGGGCACCCTCAGGGTCCCACACTCACGTTCTGGTTGGGGCTGAGGAACTGGGTGCGTGCGTAGCGGGTCAGCATGTTGATGATGACCACCTGGCCCCACTCCTCCACGTCGATGAGCAGGTTGCAGAGCTTGCGGTAGTTCTTGTGGATGAGGTCAATGCGCTCTGGGCAGACCTCCTCAAATGCCATCACCACGCTGCCGGCCACCAGCTGGGGAGGAAAAGCCCAGGGTGACTCACCAGGGTTGTGGCATCTTCATCATGATGCTGGCTTGATGGGGATGGTGGCATCTCTGTGACGATGCCTGCTGTGCATCCCCAGGAGGACACCAGTTTGGTGGGGACACCTGCAGCCCTAAGAGGACGCCGAGTCAGTAGGGTTGGTGATGTCCCCAGATGTGGGGCAGGGGAGACACAGCGCCTCGCTCACCGTTGTCTTGTCTGCCAGCAGCTTCTCAATGACTTCGATGAGCTGGTCCTTCTGGTCTGAGTCCAGGCTGCAAGGGAAGAGCAGGGAAGGTGTGACTGGACCAAACTCTTGCCTGTCCCTACCTGCACCCAACAGCTGACACCCCACCACCAGACCCTCAAAATTTAGAAACCCTCCGTTACCTGTACAGCTTGGGGATGGCATGGGCAGCTGTCTTGCGCACGTATGGGGACATGTCCGAGGCGGCCTCCTTGATGGCCAACATCATGATGGGCACGATGATGGGCACACGGATGCTGGAGAGGACCCGCAGGGCGCTGGCGCGGATCAGTTGGTTAGGGTCCTATGGGGAGATGCAGGGAGGGCCTGCGGCATAGCCAGTGAGGGGCTCGCTGCCCCCCTAGACCCTCTGAGTCCCACCTTGAGTCCTCGCTGGAAGGTGGAGATGGAGAGCAAAGCCAGATCCTGCTGCTCCTCTGCGTAGCGCACCAGGTAGACATAAACCAGCTTCTTCACCTGCGGGGTGAAGGTAGTGGAGCCACCTCAGAGCCCTCCCACCCCAAAACTCATCCCATCCCCAGGGTCTGGTGCAGGGGAGGCACCCTGGGGACTCCTCTAGATGCTACCAGGGCCACCTTCCTCACCTCAATGTTCTTGCAGGCGACATTTTTCACCACAGCCGGGAAGAGGTCAGAGGCATTTTTACCCCGGGCGATCATCTAGGGGGGTAAAAGAGTGGTGAGACACCATGGCGGCGGGCAAGGCACCGGCACGGTGCTTGCGGTGGTCCCCACCAATGGCAATGACACCCACCGCCACGATCCTCTTCATGGCCTCCAGCTTGAGCGAATCCTTGTTGCTATCGAGCATCTCCTTGAGGTCATCATGCCTGTACCATGTCAGGGCAAAAAAATCCATTTAAATGTTTTGGGGTTTACCTGGTTTTAGTAGTTTCTACCCATTTTTTAGCCATTTCTACCCATTTTTAGTCTTTTTTTCTTGCTCCCAGCCCACCACTAGGCTGGCAAACCAACACTTGCACATGAAATATTGATGGGGACATGGGTTGGGTTACAGCCGGGTGAAAGAGGAGCCGGAGGAACCAGCAGGGCGCTGGTGCCCACCTTCATCCCCATCCTGGGCGTTGGGACCAGCACCCTGTCCCAGCCCAGTTGTGGCTGTCACCCTAGGATGTCCCTCAAACCCCCTCACAGGGAGCAGGAGCCCATCACCAGCTCCCTCCTGGCCATCAGCCCAGCTTGGCTGGCTGTCCCTGGTCCCCTTGTGGACACGGTGGCACAGATGTGCTGTCCCTGGGGGGCTTTTTGGGGTGATCTTACCGTGGTGGTGGCCTGGTGCCAGTGGCGACCATGGGCTCAGGGTTGGCAAGTGGCCGCAGCTCATCGGCTTGCAGGGCACTGTAGCAAGCAGGTTGTCCAGCCTCGGTGGCCAGCACGGGGCTCGTCACCTCCTCGGCCGCATCATCACCCACCAGTGGTTTTGAGCTCCCAGCTGTCACCATCGGGAGCTGCCGCAGCAGCTGCACTGGTGGCAGGGCCAGCATGGCTTTGGCTGGGGGTGGTGGCCCCGGGGACAGTGGCAGGGCTGTGGACCCGCTCCTCCCCCCAACACCACCAGCTGAAACCTGATGCTGGAGTTGGGGTTGGGTTGCAGCAGCAGTTGTGAGGCCCTTCCCACTGGACGAGGCCACCCCGGGGTGCCACGTCCCAAGTGACGCCCATCCTGCAGCTGAGGCTTGGAGACATCACAGGGGAGCTCCTTCTCTGGGTGCTTCGAGTGGCTCAGTCCCGACCAGGGACCCTATGTCATGATGGGATGTCCAACCAGGGTGGTGTGGTGGGACATCTGGGTGTCCCA